AGAGCTGGCGGGTGACGGCTCCGGCTAGAAACGACCCATGCCTCGGGCTCTATCTTCAGTTCCCAATGGATTAGTGCCGAGCACAGCTTCAGATGTTGATTGCCGGAGAGAAGTGGGTCAGTTTGGCCATGGTAAGGCAGGGGGAGAGGGGAGCTCCGTGCCTTTGGCAGCGTTTCTCATTTTAATTGCGGCTCCTTGATGTTCACAAGGATGAACTTTGGAGCCCGAGCGTACGGTCCGCCGGAGCTTCGTTAAGAGTTTTGAGCGATGCTCTAAGCAGAAAGCCCAGACGAAATCATGGAAAGCCAACGCCAGAAATAGAAAGCTGTGCAATCTGCAACATAAAATACTCTGCAGCCAGCTTGAAGCACATGCTGAATTAATCCCCAATTTAATTAACGCTACTCTAATCCTTCCGTGAAAAGAGCAGCTCAGGATTTGTTTGGAAACACTGTCCTGCGTACAGATATATCTATTAATGTGTTTAAGAACGCAGTCATCGTGGAGTTTTTGCTGTATTCCCAATTTGGGGTGCACTAAGAGATGAATTTGCAGGCACTGTCCTCTGAAAAGTGGGATTGGAGATCGAATGAACCTGGTTGGGCTTCCCAACATCACAAAATTAGTTTAAAAACCATAAGGTACAAACCAAACGCCTGGCATTGATTTTTAAGGGTTTTTTTTTTCTGGCATCTGAGGCAATTAAAGGGTTTTCAGGGTTGTTTTTCATCCTGTCGATGGGTGGTTACAAGAAATGAGCTTAACGAGATAGCAACCACAGCCTGGCCAGGCGCTCAGCCCCATGCCTCCAGCAGCTACCACTAGAAGAAACCATTCAAAATGATGCTAAAACTGCAAAAACTGGTGAAACCGTAGCCAGGAGGTGTCTCTGTGGATGTCCTCCCCCCTGGTCACACCTCTCCAGCCGTGGGGTGACAGCCCCTGAGACCCGGGGTTGGCTGCGAAGCCTTTTGGGGTTTGTTCTGCCCATGGACATTCATTTTAGTGAGGTAAATGCACCCAAAACCAAGCAGTCTTGAGCTTCTGGGTCCAAACTGGTGTAGTGGAAGGTGTCCCTGCCCATGGCAGGGGAGTTGGAACTGGATCTTAAAGGTCCCTTCCAACCCAAACCATGATTCTATGGGACCTTCCTTTTCCTTACGCTTACAGCAAATATTTAACCCACATTAATGCTTCTCAGCCCTAGCCGGAGCTTAGAAACATTTAAGATGCAGCTAATGAGGAACTGGTCCAGCCACATTCCATCAAAGGGTTTTGGTAGCTGGGCTTTTAATTTTTATCTCAGTGGAAAACAGCTAATTTTTGTAGAAAATGAATTTTTAAGAGAAGCGACAAGTTCTTCAAAGCCAGTTTTGTGTTTATAGTTTCATCCTCGCATGTGTTTCTTGCAGGAAAAACAATGAATGCTGCCTGGCTTTTGGCAGCTTTTCTAAAAAACAACACCAAAAAAGCTGTTTATTTTGCTCTTCTCATTATTATTGATGATGAAAAGGAATAACTATGTGGTTTAGAACCAAAGTTTCTTCTATGGTGTAGAAAATGCCTTCCCCTCGCCAGCCGTGATTACAACTGGCTGCATGCCAGGATTTTCTATTTAAAATTACAAACCTCGGTGCTTTTAAGTCTCTTATGGATATTTTCAGGTTATATATTGTTTGCTTGATATGGATGTACCTGGGTTTACCCACAGATGGACACAGACACAGCACCCCGGCACGGGAAATACATGGAATTAAGTCAGAACTGAACAGACCCACAGGCAGGTGCAGAAATGGGCAGAATAATTTTGGATGGAAAATGTTTCGACAAAAACAGTTCCCGTTGCCCAACAAGTTAAGACTAAATAGAAGCTTTCTCCTCCAACTTGTCAGGTTAATTACTGAAGGAAGCATATGGTATCTCCTCGGAAGTGTTGGAAGAGGATCAACACTAGGGAAAGCGATGGAGCCGGGTGGGATCGGTGAGTGGGCGTCATATGGGAATAACAGGATCGAAATTGGAGGAGTTGGTGGGTACTCGGGAGAGGGTTTGAACCTGTTCTGGTGTGCGTTCACCCGTGGGGCTTGGGCACCTGGGTGCCAAATTGGCTGCTGTGGTGCTGGTGAGCCGCGATGAGGTTGGATGGGGACGTTCCACCTTGCCAAAGGTTTTGAGGAAAGCTGGCTTGACCCTCAGTGCTGGGATGTTTTGGAGGGTCAGCACTAGGGAGCTGGTGGCAGGGAGGAGACCCTCAAATGGGACCTCCCATGCGCGGACAAATGCAGGGCTTGAGCAGACAATGAGGGCACTTGGACATGTCAGCATCCATCTGACATCTCTTGGAGCAAGGGCAGCCCAATTATGGCTGATCAAGGCAGGGTTTTGTCACGGAGGGTGCCAGTAATAGGGTTGCATTGCTCGCAGTAGCCCCCATCATGGAAAGGTGGTGGGGAGTGATGTGGGACTTGGTCATTGAGTCTTGAGCAGAAGTGGAGGCCAAGAGCAAGGATGGTCAATGCCAGGTTCACTCTGGGAGGCTTCAGTGTAAGAGCCGAAATAAACTCATACTCTCTGTGCCAGTGTCCCACCAACATGGGATTCAGAGATGGGCTCGAGTTTTGCATCCACCATATGCCACCCCATGCAATAGCAACAGTCCTCCTCAATCGTGACCGAAAGCACTTTTGTCACAGGGAGGCAAAAATAAATAATTGCCTTGCGTGGAGCGTGGCAGAGCCAGCACACGGGGCAGGCAGATCGGCGCGGGCACCGGGGGCGTCCGTCAATGGGAGCGTGTCAAGAGTGAGCCTTGCACATCAATACATTTCTGACCAGTTAAATGTCCAACTCCAGCTGGTTGGAGCTGAGTCCCAACCAAGCACATGAAGAGCTCACCTCCCCCACGCTCCCCAGATTTCACAGAAATATGCCGGGCCTGGGGAGGTGACTGTTTTAATAAATCCTGCTGATCTCCACGTTAGTTTCTTGTGCCTTAGATAGAAAAGTTTGGCTTTAAAAGGTTAAATATTCGTAACCTGCTCCAGCTGCTCGATGTGTAAAGTCTGCTGAGATAAAGCGCTTTGAGATCTGGAGCTGCTCCTGGTAGACACGTCACTGGTGGTGCAGAGTGTGAAGTTTCACGTAGCCAGCCCATAAAGCAGCATCGCTGTCGTGGTGGGGCTTTTTCAATGTTGGTTGTTCCCAAAAGCTGAAGGAAATGTGTGGTTTGGTTTGTGGTTGGCAGGGAGGCTTTGTTTGCTCAGTAGGGAATAAAGGTGACAGCAGTGTGTCTGACTGGGGGTCTCTGGAGGTCTCTTGGTCCAACCTTCTTGGACCACCACTTGGTCGGTTTGATTGTGGCTTTGCCTAACTGAGTGTTGAAGCCTCGGAGGGTGGTTAGCTGTAAAGGAGGTTGGTCTGAGGATGCTCATGTTTAGCTTGACAAATCCATCCACAGCCACCTGTATAGTCTCCAGCTCCGTTTGCCTTGGGAGCTACCAGGTGAGCAGGGTCCAAGAAAGTCCTCTTGGGAGAGGAAGGCTGATCCCTTTGCTGCCCGACTGAGTCAGCAGAGTTGCACCCTCCTAAGCGATGGGTTCCTGAGATCTGTAAGCCTCATGTCATCCAGTATCACCTTGTTCTACCCTTGTCGTCCTCCTCTGCCCATGTCATCCCATGGTCAGGTGTCCTCTGCTGTTGGCTGCTGCTGCACATCTTTGTGCAGCCCCTGGCGTAACAGCTCTGCGGCTGTGATTCCTCGGTGCTGGGCTTCTACCAGTGCTTCAGATGGAGTACAGTGCCGTGAAAAATTGAAATGCATGGTAAAATAGTAGAAAAATATCAAGGGATAGTAAGAAAATAGTGATTCATCTTTAAACAGAAGCTCTTCAGATGTGGAGGTGGCATTGCTGGCCACGGGCATGGATTCATAGTAGTGGGTGACTCAGTTTTTAGACGAAATTAGGCGTCGTTAACAACTTCCTTTGCAAATCAGCCCCCACCCCACCCTTAATCCCATGTGCTCCCTCTGGTTTGCCGGGACGTGAGACCGCAGCAGCAATGCTAGAGGGGAAGGGTCCGTGCCCCAGCTGCACGAAGACACCTGTGTGATAGAGGAGCCCAAAGTGCTCAGGTATCACGCTCAGGTCTGATTCTCATCCCATTAATTCTGCTTCAGAAAGTCATTTTTGGGTTGGTTTTAGCTTCAGAAAGTCTCTTTGGGTTGGTTTTGGCTTCTAGTGGAAGAGAGGGACTGATCTCGAGTGTCTTGGCGTTCAGCATCGATTTGGGATGTGAAAACCTCCCATCATCCATAACTTGGTGAGGTGTCCGAGCCCTGCAAATGCCTTTGTCCAGCTTGGAGCAACTTCAGCTGCCAAGATCTCGAGCTCCTTTGAATTTAACACACTTTTTTTTGTTATTTAATTACCTACCTTGTCTCCCAAGTGGCCTCAGGCTGTGGCAGAACTGAGGCAGGGAGGCAGGGAGCACCCATGCTTTCAGCGTTGGAGACCTTACGGACAGTAGAAAATCTCTGTTTGGGGGAAGGAGGAGTTTATTTGTTTTAATAATATGGGAATGCATTCTGTAACTGTGTATCAGCTACAAAGTAGATGTCACCTCCTGATTTCTCCAGCTTGGAAGTACAGACCAAGCTGGAGAAATCATGCATCTCTGTGTTCGAGGGAGGGTGAGCCCTTGGGACAGGCAGCAGTGTGAGGACCAGGAGCCTGGAGAAGCTCTTGGTCCCCGTGGGCAGCAGTGGTGTTTTGAGCTGTATTGGGTGTGCTCTGCTCACGGTAAATGCTGCTGCTGGGTTTCCTTCCTCGATGCCCAGAAGTCCGGTCATCCAGGTGGAGTGCTCCCAACTCCTTATCTCCTGCTTTTGAGCAGCACAGATTTACCAGGTATGATTTTCCGTGGAGGAGCAAATGCACCCATGCAGGTGGACACCATCCCACCCACTGCAGCCCCCTAACCTCCCCCCCTTCTTCTTCCAGAGGAGACAACGTTCGAAGCTGGAGTCAAGGTCCAGATCCACAGCCAGTCTGAGCCACCCTTCGTCCAGGAGCTGGGGTTTGGGGTGGCCCCTGGATTCCAGACCTTTGTGGCTACCCAAGAGCAAAGGGTAAGTCCTAAATTTCATTTACACACCACGATCCCTCCAGTGGGTCCGTATGAGAGGTTGCTTCCACTTACTCATGTCTCTTGAGAGGCATCTTCATCATTAAAAGCTATTTTTATGCCTTGCTGCAAATGGGTTGGGAGGAGGGCAGCTTTTTCAGCCTCGCTGCCCGTACGTTGCCCACAATCCTTGTAATTTTGGCCACAGAAGGGACTTCATCCCTGCTAATTTTCATGAACCATGGTTATGGTTCAGCTGTGGCAGTCGCTCAGTGTGTTGGGTCCCTTCCAACCCTCCAAGAAAGGAGCCAAAAGGCTCTCATGCTCCCAGGCTATAAAAAGAGACAAGAGGAGAGTGTTTCATTATGTAGATCAGCGTGAAGCCTTTCAGGTAACGCAGAAATAGTCATCTTATTTATTAGAAACTGCGGTGGGATGCTCCTGGCTCGGGATGCAGCACCCTCCCCAGGTCCTGACGCTGGTGCATCATCACGGTATGGATGGATGCAATGTGACGTAGGGTCATTAGACCCAACTCCTGGTTGGGCATTCACAAAGCCAGCCAGCAGAATAATTTTTTCCCCCAGCTTGGCCACGATGCTTTCATTCGTAGCCCTCCTGCCTCACTGCTGCTCTCATTTTCCTCCCTGCTCTTACATCCACCCTCAAATGAAAGGTAAATCAAGCTGAGGAAAGCGAACACGAGCTGTTGGAGGGTTTGCTCTGATGAAACCTCCGTGGAGATCAGAGCCGCAGTCGTTACACTTGAGCTCAGAGCAACGTGAGGAATTCGCCACCAAAAAACACCGTTCAGGTGTCTCTCCGTGGCCACCGGGTACCAAAATACACCTGAAGATGCTGCGTTTCAGCGAGCTCGGATGCAGATCTTCTCTCCTTCGTTACGGCACGCTTGGGTGTAAATCAGCCAGGAGCTAAGGAAGGGTGTGGGGGCCCGGTGGGCGAGCGCCAGGTGGAAACTTCTCAATTACAGCAAAGAAATGTTCTGCTGTCGGGGGTTCATATCTCATGGGAAGTCCAGTGGGCTGGAGAAAACGCACAGCTGGGCTGTCGTTCAGAGTGTGACACCTTAGTGACAGCGAAGGCGAAGGGCTCCTCAGGGGCTGAGGCAGCAGCTGCTGAAGGCCATAGCAGAAACAGGTTTGGAAACCCATCATGGGCATTTTTCATGCCTGTTCCCTTGACACACGAGCCTTCCGTGTGTCCCCAATGTCCTCACCTCGCTCCGCAGAGCGTCTCAGCAGAGTTCAGCGTTGCTTTCATGGGACTTGCTATGGGGTAAAGAGTCTGGGTGATGGAAAAGTGATTAATTCCTGTTGGCAGTAATTACAGGATATCAAATATCTTATCTGTCCTCTCTCCCAGGGGCATCTCCTGAAGCAACCTGGGGGTCTCCACGCACCGGAGCAGTGGCGCTGGATCAGCCCCGTGCCTGTAGCCGTCACTGGCAGATGCAGCGCCAAGCAGTGGGATCTGGATACAGCCCTGGGGTCAGGGTTGGTGGGTGGTTATTCCCACAACGGTGGCATACGGGAGTTCTTCCCATGCCAGCACCTGGCAGGCGGCTCCCAGATGCTGGGTTACCCCAGGGCGGACAAGTGACTTGCCAAAGGTCATGGAGGAAGTCAGTGTCGGAGCAGAGGGTCCCATGTCAGACAAGATCTAAGGCAGTTTTTTACGCTGAGGATGGTGGGACACTGGCACAGGTTACCCAGAGAGGTGGTAGGTGCCCCATCCTTGGAAATATCCAAGGTCAGGCTTGATGGGGCTCTGAGCAACCTGGTCCAGCTGAAGATGTCCCTCCTCGGGGCAGGGGGGTCTGACTAGGTGACCTTTAAAAGTCCCTTTCGACTCAGACTATCCCATGATTCTGTGTCAGAGCAGAGGGTCCTGGCGCTGAAGGCGTTTGGCAACACCTCGAACCGCACTCGCCCGGCAGCGCCGGCGGTAATTGGAAAGATTTGTCTTCCTTAAACATCCCGCTTCAGCAGGCTCCGGGAGCGGGGCTGGGAGCTGGAGCCTGCAGCGAGGCTCTCCAGGACTTTGTTTGAAGACAGAAATAGCGTAAATGCTGGAGATTTTTTAGACAGCTGCTGTAAATCTTCCCCGTCTCATTGCCAGCATTAACTATTTTGTTGTTTCTATTAAAAAAAATTCAATTTCCTATCAGGAAGGCAGCCAGCTGAGAGAGAGAGGGGAAAAACCCCATCCTTCCCCACAGCCCTCCTTCCAGGCAGGGAAGATGGAGAAGACGACAAGAAAAACAGATCTGGGGGCTCTTAACTTGAGCGTGTCCCCTCTTCTGCAGGTTTTGCTGGAGGTTTGGTGCTGGGAGAGGGACGGGCCAGGGGTTCCTTCCGTAACTGGTTTAAAATTACACCATGGGCTGCAACGTCTTTACCCAGGAGACCCGGAGGGTTCTTCAAGCCACCTGCCTGGAGCAGCACTCAGCCACCCAGGCGATGCTGCGCCCACCAATTCCCTCCTCTCCATAAAGTCATTTTTTAACCCAATCACCACCATTACAGCATACACATGCTGCTGCCTTCTCTAATTACCCCGCAGGGACCAGCTGGGCATCACCCACCTTCTCAAGCCCTAAATGCACATCTTTTATTCAGACCCCTCATTTAGTCTTTTTTTTTTTTCTCTACTAAATCTCTGCATCTGGGGCAAGCACATGCTGCTCCTTCCATAAGTCAGAGCAAAAGGTGGAAAAACCCATGAATATCACCCGGAGGACTGAGTCCAGCCAGTTATTGAGGTCCTAAACCATGTGTTTTACACCATGAAACATAAATGAAACGATCCTCCAGCTGGAGAAGAAGAGAAATAAAGATAAAGACAGGTTGTTTCATGTCTCCCAGCTCCGAGCAGCCTCTTTTCCTGGCATTAAAAAAAAAAAAATAGGTGTGGAATTGGGCAGACGTGCCTTGGCATGACGATGGGAGTCGTACGTCATCTGCGAGACGGGCTTTGGGGTGAAGGGGATTTATTCGTGGCTGGGTTAGAGGCTCGTGGCTTTATTTGTGGCTCTGGTACTGGTCCCTGTGGCCGTGCTCAAATCTATCCCTTCGTCCCCCCATCCCAGTCTGGAAATAAGAGTATTTACTGGGTTTTGCGTACTGATTTCCTGCTTTTCCAGGTATGCGGCTGCTTAGCACAAGCGAGAACTTGTGTCTTGGTGCCAGGGGGATAAATCCTGTTTCTTTATTCCGAGAGCTTCCCCAGAGCCCCTTGTCGAAAGTAAACTCTGGCTCCGTGGTGGTGCGTGATCTCATTCAATCTCCCTTTCAAAGTAGCCGTCAGTCTAAAAAAAGGAACAAAAATCCATTTTTCTCCTCCTCCTGCAGTGGCTGAGCCCTCTGATTCCTGCCGAGTGACACTTTAAAGACACGTTTACGGGTCTGGGAAGTGTGTCGTTAGTGCAGTGACGACGTCGTGCTGCTTTGCATCGGTAGCGGCGTAAGAGGGATTTGGCGCGGTACCGGTTGCGCGTGCTGACTCAGCAAAAGCAATCCTGCAGAGGCGATGCCGGCAGGAGGTTTCCTCCGTAAAACGTGGTTGTTGGGTTGTGTAGGACAAGCTGGTTCTTTGCTTCCTTCTGAAATCTCAGTCCAAAGCGATGCCCTGGAGTTTCAGGGGAGCCAGGGCTGAGCTCCCTGAAGCAGCTCAGGAGGTGGTGCAGCAGAAGGCAACGCACGACGGCCAGTTGCAATCGAAACAAGAGTGTCTTGATGGAGGATGGTGGAAAACATCCTCTCGGGGTGACTTTTCCGTACACCACGGCAGTGGCTGTGGCTGATGGCAGCGTGAAAGGAGCTGGAGTGGTTCACGTGGACGTGCAGGACCACAGCTGCTGTTTCTGGGGTTTTCACACCGTTTTACATGGGGAGGGCCGGCCGCGGTCCCCGTTGTGCGGTGCAGCGAGAGATGCTCCGGCCTCGCAGGGGAGCGGTTTCCATGGCAATTGCTGAGTCTAATGAATAAGGTTTGTATTCTCATGAATGGGCAAAAGCCCCGAGCTGCGCAGGAGCTGGCTCGGGGGACGCCGCGCCGTCCCCCTCCAGACAGGTCTCCAGGGAGGGCAGGACCACCCCGAGTAGGGCAGTGCCCTTCCGCTCCCACTGCTCCTGGCTTTTGGAAGGACCCACTTCCATTTTTCCCTTTTCCTGGCTGTTTTGGGTGAGCCAGGTGCTATAACAAACCTCTCCTGACCTTGTGTTGTGCACGGCCTTGGGGAGGCTGCAGTTTCCCCCCATATCCTGGGCACCATGGCATGGGCAGACACACTGGGAATTATATTTCAAAGGATTCC